TTTCTTGATTTTTCATGTTTCCTTTATAGGATCTTTCCTTCTCTGAATCTGCTTTTTCTTAGCTTTCCTGAAGTCATGCCCTTGCTGCCTTTACTCCAGTTGTCATCTGTGGGTGTTCTGTTCCTGTACCTACCCAAGCGTAAGGAAGTTCCCAGTGACTTCCAGATCTTGAATGAGAGGAAAGTGACTTGATCACTGCTTTCAGTTCATCATATCTCGCTTTGCAGTTCTATGCAGTCAGGTGAACTACAGACATATGCAGAGCAGGCAATGAGGAAGGATATGGATTAACATGGGAGTTTACTTGTGCTGGGGGGGTAGACAGATGGGAACAGGTCAGTCTGCATTCACTGTGCTGTGCAAGGCATGACACAACTCAGCGAATGGACACTGCAAGGAAAGGTCACAGAGACTGTCTTGACATGGCTTTGCCTTGTACTGGCTTTAAATATGAAAGAATGATTAGCAACACAGGCAACTGCATATTTAGCAAAAGCTAGTGAATATATTAACCTGTATCTTCTGACAAAGTTTAAGTCAATAATACCAACCCGGAGCCTGCCCTTTTCTATGGGGCAGATGCATGTCACAAACTGTGAACATACATCATCGTCCTTCCTTATCAGAAGATGCAGAATATGAGCAAGGGCCTAAGCAAATCCCAGGTGAGCAGACATGGCACACTCTTAGTTGTAACAGACTGGTGGCATTAAGCATGATTCTGGTCCAGTATATTGGGTGAACAAGCTAAGTGTTCCAAAACACTTCATTTTCTGAAAACTTGATGGGTGTTGCAAATAAAAGAAACAATCATGGGGTTTAAACACTAACGAATATAACTAAGCAGGTTGATTAAATGGTACAAAGACCAGGTAAAAGGTTATGTGGGTAAGAAATAAGTAGTGACTAGGAAGAGACATATTTAAAGATTAATTCATTTGTGCACATGACATATTAAGGTCACATTATATTTTCATCTTTACCTTCCATTCATATCTGCATCCATTTATGCCTTTAAAGCAATTGTGCCTTTTCTTACTCTTTTATCTGTCAGACATTTGCACCTCGAATCTGAATGCCTGGGTTAGGCAGTTACAGAGTAGCTACTGCAAGTTTTTTCAGAGCTCTTTTATGCTTCATTTTTTTTACTTCACATTTTCTGTCCAGGCAGCTGTTGACAGCTCTCTCTCCTAGGAATTTCCATCATTTTTCAGAAGGGGAAAAGATGGTATCTCTTGTTCTTAATGTGTAAAATGGGCTAATTTATAAACCTTATGATAAATCATACTTAAAGTAACAAGATCGTGTGTTTTGAGCTTTGAGTTTGGTCTTGGCAGGTTTGCAATATGCTGAGATACTCCTTTAGTGGTCAGGAAGTCACTCTTCTACACCAGGCTTTTAATGGAAAATTATTCAGCAAGCCAAATAGAAATTTCATACCATATCTCACCACTTTTAATCATTAAGATATTTGGCAGAGAACAGTCACTAGTGGGCCATAGACAGAGCTAATAAGACCTTAGAGATGAGTGGTACATAAGAACCTTGCTGCATAATGGCCAAATTTGCTCCATTATCTATCTATCTGTCTATCTATCTATCTATCTATCTATCTATCTATCTATCTATCTATCTAATCTATCCTATCTATCTATCCCTCTGTCTCATCTATCCCATAATCACACAGTCAAAAAATGGGCTGGAAGGGGGCACTGGACATCCTCTAGGCCAACCTCAATTTGAAGTTAGTTATATCTGTGTTTTTCATTGGTGTGATAAATACATTAGTATTTATGAGTCACCTTATATTTAGAAATCAAAAAGGCCATGTAGAAAAACAGTACAGCAAAATTTTGTCACACCTTCAGATTTTTACTATAAATTGCACTAGTAGTTTGTAGTTAAATTATATGAACTTAATTTCGCTTCTCAAGCACATCTTCTACATTTTAGCTCTGTAATTAGTGGTTTAGATAATAAATCGTTTTTCTATCAGTCTGTTTTGTTTGTTATTGCTAATGAAATTATTGTAACATATATTGTATGGCTTGGCAAGCATAGGAACTCTGTTATTTTACCTTGTGATTTAAAAGCTGTTCTCTATTTGTGTTGTGTACTAGATGTCACACTAATTATTATCTGCAGACAGGAATGCCAACTCTGTTCTAAATGTAAAGCTTTTATAAAAGCATTGTTCATTAAATGGTGCAAACTACTGTTATGCTTCAATACTTTGAAGTGTCCTCTTGTTGTCTTGGGGACTCCTTGTAACTATGATTGGAAAACTGAAAATGGGAATTTTCAGAATTAATCAGATCTGGAGGTCACATGAGCCCAGCTCACTGAAATTGGTTTTTATTATGGAGGTGCAGCTTTTTCATGTTCATTTGCTCTCTGACATACCTGTATACCAATAAAAAATTAAAAAAAAACTTCCAAATTTTCAAACATAGAGATGATTTTTTTTTTTTTTCTGAAAATAAGCAAAATTTGACCCATACTCTTCAGTTCAAATAGGAATACCTTCAGCATATGGAGTTTTATATGTGTATTTTCATCCCTTTAAAAAAAAACGAAACAACCTTTTCAAGCTCTCAGCCTCAGCACTTGTAACTGATCTTTTCAATCAGTAAGAGACTTGAGGCTCTTCTCACTTCAGTTGAGGAAAAGCAAGAAGAATGAGCCATGGGCAGTTTTGTGGACTATGACCGTTATTTCAAAGCTCATCTCTTCAGTTCTGCTGGTAATGTTGGGTCTTTTACTGCAGGTAGACTTTGGATGAAAGGCACAATGAGAGGAAGTAGGCTCTCTAGCATGTTCTGGGGAATACCTTCTGAACCGTATTAATAAGACGAGTTTCCACAGAACCTGGGATGGTAAAATACAGTGAATTTGCTTTAGTGACCTAATGCTAACCATTTTCCCCTTTTCAGTTTCTTCTAAATCAATACAGAGCAATTAAAGCAATAAATTACAGTGCTTTGAAGAGCAGTACATGTCAGTGCCATGATTCTGCATATCCAAGGCACATATACTTAGAGACAAAAGCCAAAACTGCTAACTTTTGTAAAGGAGCCTTTAATCTTATTTAATTGAAGCAAAATTTGTATTTCACTCCCTCAGAGAAGACTTCAGGAGCAAGACGGCTTGGTAGGTCATTCCTGCGTAGGTGTTTTTATGAAACCAGAGTAAGAGACTTCGCTAGTAGCATAGCTAATTAACTAGGAATGAAATGGAAGTAGCAGCCAGTTTGCCCAAGCAATGAGTGTGTGGGGGGTATAGGAAAGACATACCTGCATACATGCTTTCGCAGAGCGCAAAGAAAAAGCTGCAACTCACAGTTTCAGAAGATTCATACCATGCTTTCTTCATTTTGAAACTTAGGTTCCAAGTCAAACTATTACTTAGTCAAAAGGTTTATTATTGTTGGGGTTTTGGTAAGGAAGAGCACAAAAATAGCGGCATGCATGGATTATGCATCTTCAGATGCTTGATTTTATGTAACTGGGAAAACTGACAGGTTTATGTAGGATATGTTCTAGTAAAAATAATGGTCTTGAAGCTAGGCCATCTATTTTTGATAGAAGTAAGAAACAGGCAAAGTGTTATTCAAACTGAACTCTTGTGAGACCACAGAGATATCTGTGTAACTGAATTAATTTTCACTCTATCCAGACTTGTCTCTTAGGATTTTAGCTGAGATTCACAGCAAAATTAGAAGTTTCTAAATGCTGTAACAATATAATATAGGTAATTTACAGCATTTATAGACTATTAAAAGTAGAGGAACCAGATGACCTGTCGCATGAAACATCCAGTGCAGATGTTTTATTTCAATCTGTTACTAATGGCAGGGCTCGCAAGCATTTGTGTCCTTATCCAAACCTGACCAGTAATGATTTGCTGATCACTACAGTAGGGTGATGCCACCAGTCACCAGTTCTAGTTACAGTATATTAATACTGTGCAAAAAATATCTGTGAAAAGGGACTACTTTACTATTATGCTACCTTTGACTGTAGTTTTTACAGAAAAAAATCAACAAGGCAAAAGCAGTGTATGAATAGCAAAGGGATTACACAATATTTCTGAAGCTGGTCTAGAGCAGTGCTGGCATTACAGGGCTCTAATATGGAACTGCATGTTGCTGGTTAACACTCAAACACTTCCAGCCATCATCAACCCAGACTGCAAGGCAAGAGGGAAAGGCACCAGCTCTACTTATAGCTGGATGTGTTTTTATTTTCTGGAAGGGCAGTTTTTTTAAGGTGGATATAAAATCACTTCAATTGTATCATAACCAAAACAAAGCACAGCAAACTGTCCAGTGGAAACTGAAGTCAGAGGAATGCTGGGTGCAGATGAGTTAGCTCTAAGAGGATAGTTTAAGATGATCCTGACCCCTTACTCCTCTCTTCCTTTTCTCATTTTTCTCCTAACAGAGAAATGCGTCATTTGTTGTAATTATATTAGACCCTCAGAAATGACTCATCATATTATGGGCACCAGCAGAATGAACAGAGGTTATTTTTAAGCCCAAAATATATTGTTATATCTGAGTTATAAACCTTTGAAATGAAACTGTTGTCTTAAAAAGCTTGTAGCACCAGTATTTGCCTCTATAACAAGAACCAGAGCCACAAATAAAATGCTTGTTATTCTAAGTAATGTCAAACTTCTGTAATATCAATTTGAAAAGCAAGCAAGACATTATTAGACATTGTCTTAAAGTTTGTCAATTGAAAAACTGAAACACCGTGAATGCAAAGTTCCTGATTTGGAATAAAATAAGTGTGTAAAATTAAAACCAAATTTATCATGTACAGTGACAGTATCTGAAAGAGTCTGAATGCCTCTGTGTGTACATATGTACTTGTATAAGCATGTATTTTCTTTACATAGATACTCACACATACAGAAGATACTGTAGTACTTCAAATGTCCTTCCTTTTTCATCTATAAAACTAATTGTAAATTATTTCTTTTTGTTCTTCTCGCAGCTGAATTTTTATTCCTCTTGTGGGGTGTTTATCTCTGCTATGCAGTGCGGACAGTCCCATCAGCATTTCATGAGCCACGTTATATGGCTGTTGCAGTACACAATGAGCTCATTATCTCTGCTATATTCCATACAATTAGGCAAGTGATCTGTAGATCTAGTAATTAACTATTTAACTTTCAGGTTTCATATGGTGCAACTTAAAATGGGTGAATGGGTTAGGTTGCATAATGGAAGGTGTTATAAATATTTAATTCTGCAGATTAAGTGATGACTAAACTTAAAAGTGATCTCATTCAAGAATATGTACAATCAACCTGTTAATTGTATAATTAGGGTTTTTTTCAGTATAACTAGCTGTTATGACCTTGTCTCAAAGTTCAGCATATATGGTAAATTAGATAAAGCGAAACTGCTGTCTGTCTTCAGTCACCTACATACTGCTCACTGGTTTGTATCCCTAGAACAGCAGGTAAGAATGTTGGTTTATGTGAACTTTTCCTGGTGTGTAAAATTGGTAAGGTGCAGCTGTATTTTGATTGTATTGGTTTGTGCATGAAGCATAGTGCTTTATATGCCGATATAAAAAATAGGTATGCATACAATGCCATAACAAATATAAAGCATGCGTGTCTTGTAAAGATTATAATGAGCTCTATATTTCATACTTGTAAATTATTACAGTAGCAACAAATAAATAAGGGTCTTTGCCGGAGCTACATGAAAATTACTATATATGCCTTTCCTACAGAGCACCCTGTAAAAATGAATTCATCCTAGAATGCTCAAAATAGTAAGATAACATGAATTTCAGCTCATCCTGTAAGAGATCCTACTGAATTTCTGTGACATTCTCACAGTTTCCTTTGCCTCCTGACAGACCTTATCTACTAAGATCTTCTGTTTTTTTTTTTTATTAATTGCTCTGCTGACAGTCTTCAAACACTTCTCTGTTCCTTGGTCTGTCTTGGAACTCACATTTTTCTCTGCCTTCTTGATATTTGCTTCCATGAGGCATATTTTTTTTTCTGAGTAAACAGCAGCAAAGCAATTTTTTCATCTCTATTCCTTCCAGGTGCTCTTTTCCCTTATCATTGTTACAAAGTTCACTGCACCTTTCAGGCTTGCAACTTTTTGTTTCCTTCAGCTTCTCCTCACCCCACATCTCAACATCCACACACTCTCAAAATCTTCTTCACTCCACAACTAACACAGACATCTTCAAAAATAGTGTTTAAAATCTGTATTCTGTAGAAGCATTTTCCTTTTCATTCCTGGTAGATAGGTAGGAAATTCAGTTACAACACTTTTGTATTGATGATAGCCGATATGAAAGCTTCTCAGTCAAAATTTTCACCCATTAATTAATGTTCCTAAACCTTATTTTGGGACATGTTAGAAGATACAGTTCAGTGCATTCAAAGGGCTATTATGTGGGTTGAAAGTTTCTTTTAACAGTAGGACCAAATGAAAGTAATTGTGGATTAAAGAGAGGGGAAAAGGGGAAAACATGGCATTTTAATACATGCCTTATGAAGGAGACACAAAAGGATTAGGTCTCTCAGTTTGTCCTCTCAAGAATGCTTCGGCCAAAGGTCTGCTGATCTTGTTCTTTAAAAAAATAAAAAAGTACATTTTGTATTGATTCTTTGCCCTCTGTCTGATACATGGCAGTTTGTTGAAGAAATATCATATACTGTTTATGGATAGGAATGAATAAAATGCATGGGAAGTACATGATTCCTCCTAAGAGTGTGTCCATTTCTGTATACGCAAGTCTTAATCCAGTCTCTTTGAAGTTCACTTTTTATTTTTGTTTGCTTTTTTGCCTTTGTCTTCCCCCACCAAGTTTTGGGTGTAAACTGAAAGGGCAGAAATGTAAGACTCAGATTTATGTGACATATCTGAGTTGTTGTGAAGTTGAAAGCAGTGGAGCCCTGAAGGACACCTACTATATTACAAGGCAGCCATCCAGTCTGAAAACTCACAAAGCTCATATAAGATTCATGTAAGCGCTAAATAAAACCTTGAACTGTTTGCATTTTGTTTTCCTTTAAAAGTATTATTCCAATTTCAGAAACAGAGGATTCTTGATTATCTTCAGATCAGCATAGCAGTAAATTCCTGCATTACTCTTTCTCTTGTATTACTGAGGACAGCAAAATTTGCATGGAAAAAATCTCATTTAAATAGAAATCTCATCTCTGCTAGGTCTGAAGGGCTACTACAAATGCTGGGGGTTTTTTAGGGGTATGGCATGGATGCCTTAGTCAAGGTTTCACACATAGAACAAGAGAAAAGCCTTGACAGTATTTGAGGATTGGAGATGTTAAAGGTTAACCAAATCTGGTGGCCATCAGGACCTGGGAGCTTACTCCCCTCTGTCTCTCTGCCTGATGGACTTGGCTGCTGTTGTTTCCTAGCTAGACGGAGGACATCCACTGGTGCAGTCACGCGCAATGCATGGCTGGCCACATGGACCACGTACATCCTGCTTCTGTTCCTCCTCTGCAGCTGATCACGTTCCCTGATGAGCCACGCACCTGTGTAGGTTCACAGTCACACTACGTTCACAGTTCCTTCAAATATGAGCACAGTTCTTAAGCCAATCTTATATCCATCTTCAGGTCTGGGGCCCTGTAGCCTGTCATGCATGGGCTGAGACCTTGGATCTACCCGATGTGGGTCTCCTGCGTGCTGGCTAGTCCAGCCTGAAGTTTGGTCATGAGTTGAACGTACACACATGCACAGCATAGCAAGTGAGATCACACAGACATTAGGAGAAGGATTTAATGAGAAGATAGGAGATAGTACAGTGATCTGGTGCAGGGCTCAGTCAGTGACAACTTGCTTTTATGTCACTAGCCCTTTTTATCTCCACTTCTTTCCATGCTTGTACTTCCCCCACCTACCTTAGACTCTCTCTGTCTCTGTCTTTGAATTCTCCCAAATAAACAACTTTTACTATTTGTCCCAGTTTTGCTACATCTGTACTCAAATTTGCTATTTATGATATCTTTACCTAGGTGATCACAGCCTTACATGCTGTTACTGATATGGTTCCATCGGTATCACTGACCTTGCAAGTTCTCCTCCCTCAAGAGCCCCCATTGCTCCCTTCAGTTACCTGTAAAGTTTGCTTCAAATGGCTCCTCATTAACCACCTATGAAATTTTGGCATCCACCATCAGGACTGTCTGCAAGTTTTGTTCACTTTTCGCTCTGTTGTTTGTTGCATCTAGCAGTTTCTCATGTCATCTTCAATAGTTCCCATGTTGTGTTCAGTTAGCTAAACCTCAGGTCTGAGCATCTTCATATCCCTGCACCCCTCAATAGCAACATCTCTGCAAGAAATAATTGCAATATTTTATTCTGTTCATGAAGCATTTCATTTACAAAGTATTAAACAAGAAATGATGACTGTATTATTATGGCATATAAACCAGTGTTTCATGCCAGACTATTTCTGTTAACAAAAGCTTCTGCAAAATACGCATCTGTGGACTTGGATAAGTTGCAAATGTCATTTCTGTCTGAATGATTTTTGTAAACTTGCAAATTACAAGCCAGTGGTACATCCATTCATCCATTGCATTGCTTACCATTTCTATCTTTGGGAACTCAGTAAGGCAGATAAGCCAAGCATGTTCCAGCTAGCTTTAACTGCACTGCTTGTTCTACTGTTCTTTGAGAAAGCTCAGCAAGGAATTGCTTAGTTTGGGATGTTCAGCCACTCATTTCCTAGCATTTGCAAGGCTCTTGGCCCTGCAGCATTGGGCTGGGTGATCCTACAATCGAGACCATTTCTTTGCTCCCTGCTAAAAAGCATTTCAGTTTGCTTCTCTCTTTGATGGCTTATCAGCCGCACTCTGTAGCTGCAATCTGTGAGCATCCTGTATTTATGAAGTACACTGTAATTTATCATAGTACATGTGCTTACTTAACCTAAAATCACCTGTTGAGATCCTTAACGTATATAAGCTGCCATAACTCAGTTCAGGCCAAAGAAGCTGTGACAGTATAGACCATCGAAAAAGTCAGCTAAGTAGGGTGAAGAAGGTGAAATAAACAATATAATTTAAGGTCTGTTGTTTCTTTTGTACTCTATTTGGCCTTGTTTTGTTGATTGGAGTTTTTTTTTCCTGAGTTGTTTTCAGATTGTGGTATATAGGTAAAGCATAAGGATGTCATTTTTAGTCTGTATGAAAGCAGAATAAAACCAGCTGTGTCTGGCCTTTCAATGAAAAGAAACCTAAGGAACATTAAAAATGTTAAATCTAATGCACTGGAGAAAAGGCAGTGAATTGCAGCCTTGAATTCTATTTTCAGATTCATTCTTGCTTCGAGACTTCAGTCTGACTGGATGCTGATGCTGTTCTTTGCACACACGCACTTGACTGTGACAGTCACTGTTGGGCTACTTCTGATCCCTAAGGTATTTGAGTCTCCTGTTTTTTTTCTTTTTCCAAGACTGAGGCAGATAGATGTTCTTCAGAAGCAATTCTGTATAAAATAGCAACTGATAGAATAGGAAGATAAAAGATTTGTCTGTATTGCCTAAAACGCTATTTTTTTTTTATTTTATTTTAAAAACTCTTACACATTTTCAAAGATTATTACTTTCAGCTTTCAAAATTCCAGGAGTTTAAAGTACTTAAAATTTTGATGTGATTAATACAAGGAGGAAAGAATCCCGCCTTGCCTAATGATGGTTATTTTCAGGTATTTGGTTCAACTTGTACAATTTTCAGATTAATGAAGCCACTGTTCCCATCTTTTGCCTATGTGTCAGAATAGGGTATGCTGATAACTGTCAAATGTACATACAGTAAACAGTCATAGTAAGAGGACACATCGATTGAGCCTTGATACTGAATAACCTTATTTTAAATTATTTGTCTGGTCTTTAGAATATTCTTATTATTTTCTATTTTACATCCATGTACTTTATTTCATACATTAACCTAAAAAATGTGTTGACCTTTCTGAAGCTGACTCATAACTAAGGATCCAGCATTTCCATTTTTAGTTTATGATCTGTGTAACACTGCACAAACTTTTTTTCCAGCACACCAATTAATGCAGGGAATTAAGAGAAGATTCACAAGGTTTAGTTCCATTCATAAAGTCCTGAAGTCAGATGACTGTGTGGACAATAGTAACTACAGATGAGTGAATCACTATGAATAAAAAAAATTAGCTGACTGTCTCTCTCCACTCTTGATCCACACATTTGCTAAAACTTAGAAGATAGAAATTACCTTGTCTGCTTTTTTTATTTGTTTCCTGCTGGTTTGTTTTTTTTTCCTTTCTCTTTTTATTTTTTCCTTTCCATTTTTGCCACCTCTTCCTTCTCAAGGTCAGGATCTAAAATGGGAGAATTGCTTTCTGCAGGATTATAAAACTGTATGGATTATAAAATCTAGTCTTAATGGCTTTAGTAGCCTAATTGGAAATACTGGCTGAAAGTCTATTTCCATACTAGCTTGATTTAAATGCAGTTTTAAAGAGGTTCAAATAAGCACCAAATTAACTGCTCAGGGAGAGGGTTTTCTTGTTAAAATCTCTAAGATTTATCAAGTTAAGCAATTATTAATAAGAGTTTATTCCATACAATACTGATATTCTATACTACATATGCCAATGATGCCTATAGCTAGTGATTTGAGTTCAGAAGTTCTTATGAATTCCATAGAAGGATCATTGTGCAATAAAAACTGTTGATGTGAACTCCTACAGTAATGCTGAAGTAAACTTTTGAACTGATGGCAGTGTCTTTTTTATGCAGTTTTCACATTCAAGCAATAATCCAAGAGATGATATAGCTACAGAAGCTTATGAAGATGAGCTTGACATGGGTCGATCTGGATCCTATCTGAACAGCAGTATCAATTCAGCATGGAGTGAACATAGTTTGGATCCTGAAGATATTCGGGTAGATATAATTAATTTAAATAGAATTTATTTTCAAGAACAACGCTTTTTCCTATGAGTAAATTCTGAATTGCATCAATTTGAATTTTTGTGCAGGTATCAGCTGAAATAGGCCAGCTTAGGTCTCTCAGTGACTGTGGTATCAGGTCATGTGAAATCTCATGGAAAATACTCACTAGTGTGAAGAGACACTGCGTCGCTAGTTGTAGTAAAAGTCATACTGGAGGCTAAAGAGGAGGAATCGTCCGCAGCAAGAGCTGTTTATCAGTTTACATAGCCTCTTTGAATTGTCTTGAAGTACAAGCAATATGTGGTGTCAGTGTGACCAGTCATTTGTATATAACATGTCTGTAACTATACATAACTATATGGATAAAATTTTAAAAAACCACATGATTAACAGAAAAAAAAAACCACTTTATTCCTACATTACATGATAAAAGGGCTGATGTTCCCAGAATAAAGAACAGCTGTGAGTTCAGCAGGAAAGCATACACACAGCCCTGTGAAATCTGAAACATACAGCATAAATGTATATGAATTGCGCATGCTGTATGATGCACAGCTGTGGAAGGTTACACATTTGTGTGTAAGGGTTGAACTTAAAATTGGGATTCAAGTTGACGGAGAAATGGCGTATTCAAGAATTAGACAAGTCAGGAATAAGTTCAATGCCATTTTTAGAGCGGTAGGCGATGCATTCATCAGGCTGCTTGTTTGACTGTACTTGCTCTGTACTTGCTAGTTTTTCCATTCACTTTGCTTTGCAGGATGAATTGAAGAAACTATATGCCCAGCTTGAAATCTATAAAAGGAAAAAGATGATTGCTAATAACCCACATCTCCAGAAGAAAAGGTGCTCTAAAAAGGGGTTGGGGCGCTCAATAATGCGACGTATTACAGAAATCCCTGAGACGGTCACCAGGCAGTGCTCCAGGGATGAGAAGGACCTGATGGAGCATAGTGTTGTGAAGAACGTGGCTACGCTGAAGAAAAACCCACCAGACTCCACAAGTTCTGCAAAGCCAAAAGAGGAGACTTTGAAAAATAGGGTCTTTTCCTTAAAAAAGTCCCACAGCACTTACGATCATGTTAGGGATCAAACAGAAGAACCAAATAGCTTAACTACAGAAAGCACTGAAGTTATAGCTGCTGAGAATTCACTACTGGACTCACTGAATGATAACAAGTTAACCAAAAATGCTCCTGAAAAGGTTGAAGCTGTCTCCACTGAATCGGTCCCTTTGGTGTGCAAATCAGTAAGTGCACATAATTTAAGTGCCGATAAGAAGCCTCTGCATCCAAGAACATCTGTGTTACAAAAATCCCTCAGTGTTATTGCTAGTGCCAAGGAAAAGACTCTGGGACTAACAGGTAAAACACAAAGTCTGGAAGAAAGCACGAAGTCTCATAAACCTCAGCCAAAGGGTAAGGAGGCTGGCAAAAAGCACTCGGTCTCTGATAAAGGTGAGCATAAGGATTCCCACCAGAAGAACTCTACCCACTCTGAGGAAGCAAAGAAAGCCCATAAATCTTCAATTATGAAGCAGCAAAGGGTTAGTCAGACACCTGCAAATCCAGACACAGGCCCAGGTAAGTCTCTACACAAGGACAATTTCGACATAGGAGAAGTCTGTCCTTGGGAGATATATGACCAAACTCCTGGTCCTGTGCCTTCTGACTCTAAAGTTCAAAAACACGTGTCTATTGCTTCCTCAGAGCCAGAGAAAAACCACCCTTCTCAGCCAAAGGGGAAGACTCATCGTAAGCTGAAGACACCTGAGGGGTATCAGCAGTCAAATCAAATATGTTCAGAGAAGGTGGAGGAAGCTGCTCAGGAGACACAAGAGCAAAATGACAAAACCCAGTCAAATTCCAAGTCTCCAGTTTCCCCTGGGCTGAAGCATGAGAATGTTAATAGATATACACCTAATACCTGTGCTGGGGAGCTGGAAGAGCTACCCCAGAGAGCAGCAGAAAAAGAAAACCTCAATAAATTGGCAGAACAGAAAAAAAATGCCTCTTCCGAGGGAAATGTGCTTTCATCTGACTCCCATAAGCCAAGTAGTTACTTCCAGCAACCTTTAGCATCTCGAGCTGAAGTCTGCCCTTGGGAGTATGATACACAAGATTTACCAAATGCAGGAAGAAGTGTAGCTTTATCGAACACCTCTGCTATAAGTGCAAATAAAACAGCAACACCTCGAAAATAAGAGGCTTTTGGACTGAGGAGAGTAGCAACATTAAAAAGAAAACAGGAAAGACAGAGGGGACTTAGGCCAAAAGGATCTGAAAATTCCTAAGGAGCATCACTTAAATCAAGGGAATCAGCACTACAAAGGAGTTAAGCAAAGTAAATTATCATTAATGTTGTTATTGTTTAGTTCTTGAGTGCCAACAATGTGATTAGCAGTGTCCAGAATATGGTCCCTGCTCCAAGGATTTTACTGTATCAATGAAAGAAACCTGCCTTTGTGAAATCACTTCTCTTTTAAAAGAAAAACATGCAGTGGTAACAAATGCACAGTACAGATCTCAACTGAATTATTTCTGAATGCCAGAACTGGCTTTAACTTGCCCTTGGGACTTTAAAGATCCAGCAGAAGTAGGGAACACAAAATGTCCTGATGGCAAAAAGGGGTATCAATGAGCAGCTTATTAAAATGGCGAATTTTCACTTTACATATTTAGTCTAGATAGCACCGCTAACTCAATGCATCCCCAAACACATTTTATATAATGATTGCTCTCATTTTCTTATTACTGTGTGTTTAAGTACATTGTTGTGTCTCATATTAAAGCATTCCAGGTTGTATAATTTTTTGCAAATAACTTTGATATTATGTGACACAACAGCGCATTTATGCAATCTGCAGATACTTTCTTCTAATTGCAAGTTAAAATACCTGCTGTAGACTTTTTGTTTAGATATAGAATTGCAGTAATCTTTCACTGGCTATGGAAGCCATAATTCATATTGGGCTTTGGAGATTTTTTTTTTCTTTCCTGTGATTTATATAGTGATTTTGTCTTTTTTTGTTTACTCTCTGTTATTTATAGTTTGATACAGTATTATTCAGGGGTTTTATACACAGTAAGTTACTTGTTTATGCATTTCCCTGTTAATGCTCATAGACTTTGTTTATAGTGGAAATTCAGTCGTCTTAGCTGCTTATTCTTAGGACAACTTATCTGTTGTTTGTTACTAATTGGAAGCTATCATCTAACAAACCAGAAATCTTGCTTAAATATCAGTGGTGATACTGAGTATATCCCACTATTAAAATACGCAAGAATGACAATGAAAATATACCCCAGAAATGATTGCCTATTTTACTAAAACCAGATAACCCTGGGAAATATATTAGCTAGTTCATATAAAACAACAGTGTACTGTTTATCTCTGTTGGCAAACCTCAAAGAATTGGCCCATGGAGTGAGGAGAGAAGTCCAAAATATTACTCTTCCCCCATGTATGCAATTGTAAGAGACAGTGGGAAGGGAAATGATGGCATCTCTCTCCCACTCTCCAAAATGCTTTGATTTTATTTATTTATTCACTTATTTGTTTATTTACGCATACTTTTGCAGTAAACCTTAGTGCTTAATACAGTGCTAATTTTCAGTAATAACTACAGTCCTCATTGTGCATATGAGCTTAATTCACAGATGGCCCATTCACAACTTGGTGATGGTACAGCATCAGGGCCTGAGGACGTATTGTAAAGGGTCTGAGGAGTATCACTAATACTAAAAAACCCTCATCTATCTAAATGCAGTGCCAGTAAAGTGCTGTTCACTAGAATTGGCATCTATAAAGTACTCCAAAACAAAGACAGCTCAGTCCTAAAGAACTTGTGCAATTTGAGAGAAGTGATGGGGTTCATTGGAAGAACATGAAATGAGGATGATTGAATAGAATGTGTTGTTTAATATATATAATATATATATAAAATAGATATTTATATATGTTTAATATATATAAAATGTCTTATCTAATACACTCATGCACCTACATATATGTAGTATAAACTGATTTTTGTGGCATCATACAAAAAGTGGCTTAAGATGAAATGAAATGAGCACAGGGACTTAAGCTGGGCATGAGCAGGACTTTCTTTGTCCTTACCAGTAGTCTATGGGTATGTCTACACTGATAGATCAAGATGGATCTTCCTACTGCCTCTGCTAAGGTGAAACTGAGAGCATGCCAACACATGAGCCAGCTGTGGTCAAGCTGGCTCAGGTCATTGGCTCAGGTCTCAGTGCTGTCTACATACATTGGCCTCAATCGTAAATTCTGCTCATTAGCTTCAGATTAAAGTGGCCAAACTGCCCAACTAACCTAGTTAGCCTGAATGGTGCTCAGTTCCACCATGGGGACACGCTAACTTAGATCTTTGCTACCCTGGGCCTGTCTGACTCTCCCACCCCTCTTTTGTAGGGTGTAGTTATGGCCTAGAATATCTGGTCTTTGCCTTTAATACACATCTTCCAACTGGGACCCCTTCAACCCCTCTTCACCTGTAAAAGAGTGTCAGGCATACAAGTCTGCTTTGGACGTTTGTGCACCCACTTTCCATACACAGTGCCAGTGGCATCCTACATGCAGACCAAATCTAGCTTTCTGCTTAGTGTGGAAAATAGCTGAGGTTAGACTTGGTGTGCCCAGATTCTCCCATCCCACTCCCAGAAACTCATGGGATTTGTTGGTAACCTTTTCATCAACTTCAGTGGGATTTGATCAGTGCTTCAGAGAGAAAGTAACCCTAAGTTTTGCTGCAAGGGAAAAGTTCCAGCCTGGGAATGCAGCTTTCTGTGAGTCCTCCAGGAGAGCACACTGACCCTGTGGGCAGAGAGAGGCACAACTTTCAACCTGCTGAGTATGGTGACCACCTTGCACCTCTGCTACCCCTCAAGGAAGGTTCTGCAGCCTATCTCAGCCGTGGTTTGTGTAAACAGGGAGCGGGGGGCCACTTATGGCAGGTTGCCCTGACTCACTAACTGAGTCAGCACTTTGTCACAGCCAGGTGCTGAGGTTAAAAGTGGGAGTCTGTAGGAGAGTCAGGAAAGGAGATGTTTGTACATACTCACAAGAGCAGTTGCCAGCCCTGGCACCCGCACTCATCTTGCCCTCCATCCTTTACCTTGGTGCTGAGTGAGGACACACTGCCTCTGCTTTGCTCAGTGTTGGGGTGCAGCGTGCACCAGGGGTGAGGGGAGCCACATCAGCAAAGTGTCCACACAGTACCACTGCCCCTGGTATGTGGCATTGCTGGCAGGATCAAGCCCTTCATGCATGACTGCACCTGTGCCACTGCTGTCCATCTACAATTCTTTGGTCGTTTTCTTTTCTTTTTTCTTTTTTCTTTTTTTAAGAAAAAAAAAAGATAACTTCATTAGAAACACAGAAACAAAGTCCATTCCTTGGCTAGTGTAAAACACCCCAGCTGCGTGGCAAGCAAAAGGATGATGGCTGATTTACCAGGGAAGACATTGACTTGTATATTGTTGTTTGGTTTTCTTTTCCTTCATCCTGACCCTTTCTCTCACTTCTTAAGAAATGTCTGGTATGGTTCTTTAGGCTTGTTGTAGTCACATCTCCTAAGACTGATGCAGTTGCAGAACTTCCCTTTAGAAAGCAACAAAGCTTTCCCCAGTTTATTTAGCAACTGTTATATGGGCTACAGATTCAATTGGGATTTTAATTCACACTTAAGAAAATGAGGGGCCAAACTTCACTCAACAATTCTATTTCACTATGATGCTGCTAGAAACATTGCTTAATGGAGGCATTCTAAGTTAGACATAAACAATGTTCTGTATTTCATAGATTTTTCTCCACCAGCATATATTGGCTAGATTGCTTCGCTGTCTTTTTCTGGAGTTTCATTGTCATTATTCAGCCAAGAGATGTGTAACTGTAGAATTAAGATGTTTTCTAGCAGATCTGTTAAGAGAAAAGGTAATAAACACTAAGGTCACAAACATTTGCTAGGTTGTCCTTTTAAATGCATGTGCAAGCTGCATTTCTCCTTTATTTCTAAGCCATGGTTTATAAATAATTAGATTTCTACCAGTCTTATTAGACTTGTATAATTTATGCAAGATTATATGCTTTAAAATATAAATCGGTATACACCTATCATCAGCTTTGGTGGCATCATAGACCTGAAACCGGACAATACTTTTATATTTGCTCTCCTTAGGCTTTTGCATGCATATGACAACAGGCAGGCCTGAGAAAACACTGCCTTTTGACTTTTAACATTTTAGCTACTCCAAGTTGTAGACTATATAAAGCTGTAAGTCTCTTCACTTTATAATGTGGTTCTTATAGCAATGCTATCTGACAACCAACAGCATCCACCATGAAATACTTGATAGATTTATGTTGTAATGTGTTGCAGCATGTAAATAATGTAACTTCTCTGCAATAAAGCACATTTATATGAAACCTGTCTGCAGGCTTTTGTGTTGTCACTTTCTGAAGTCATTACTGATCCAAAATGAACAGTTTTCTCATCAATCTTATAAAATAACTAACAGTGAGTTTTAAAGTTTATATGATCTGATCATGTCATTAGCGTTTTGCAGATTTTCCTCCAATTTTCTTGACATCAACCTGTACACTAGATGTGTACTGTGTTCAGGATTGTAGGTTAGGGAAATAGCTCTACTCAGTGGCTGCAATTTTGAGTTAAAAATTATAGGGTCCTTGCTATATTCCCATATATATTTAATGACAAATAGAATGTTAGAAAATATTAGGAAATAAAAAAAATTGCATTTTATGATGTTAGCATAAAAGCCTATAGCTCTTCTGTACTACATACGTGCATGCTTTGATTCCTCATCTAAAATATATGTCTAACAGATACAGAAAAGGTACAAAGAATTGTAGTAAAGATAATCAGAGACAGAGAATGGCTGCTGTGTAAGAGGTGGCTAAATCAACTCTAACTTCCTTAGCTTGGGGGAGAGATGACTGAGATAGGAATGAGAGCTATACAAAATTACAAATGGTCCAAATGTAATGAGGGAACTCGTATATGCTGGGTTTTGTCATGGGGAACTACGGAACACCCAGGGCAGCAGCTTAAAACAAATGAAGTTTTCTTCTACATATGGCATAAAATATATCGCAGAGTTCGTTTTCAGACTGTTGTGGATATCAGGAGTTTAAAAAGCACTGGGAGGTCATGAAAGAGAATCAAGATCCCCAAACATGGTGGATACAAAACTCTTGAATCGCTATTTTGTAGAAGGCTAGTAAGTAGGAAGATTGTCTTTTATAATCATCCAGTTTTCTTTCCGTAATCACCTGGTAGGCATCTACCACCTCTCAGGGCAACCTGTTCCAGTATTTTACCACCCTCATGAGTTCAAGAAAGCATTGGATCCCCCAGGCAGCTTTGATTCCTGCCTAAGAGTACAGGACATGTAACCAATTATACAACATGGAACTATGGGCAAATCTTGCAGAGAAGTTATTTCATTGACCACTTTTTTTTTTTTCTTAATAATACAGTACTTCTGACAGGTTGGAGCACACTTTTCCTCATTCTAAAGCAGCTTTTTTCACTAACAGGGAAATCAGCTTTAGCAATGCTAGAAATTCAGTAAAAGATCCTGATTGTTTAACTTAGTTTGGCAGGCTGCCATCATGTTTCAATATTTGATCTTCTGGTCCTTTAATACTTGGAAATTTCAACATTATCTCTCAATTTGTGCAGGGGATTTTTCTTTTTTTAGTCGCTAAAAGTGTACAAACAACATTGAACATTTTACCATCAAATTACTGGATTTTAGATTTCTGGGTATATGGGTTGGGTCCAATTTTTCGTTGTGTCAAAGCATGGAAAAACATTACATTATACTCAAAATAGCCATATATTTTTTGAAACGTGCATCTATGATCTCTGTATAATATAGATCCACATATTTTACATACAAGTGTACAGAACCATTATTCCATCTTTGTAGCTGCAGAAGGCAAGGATTTCCAGTACATGGGTAGCAGCCTTTAGAAGCAATTAAAAGAGAAGATTGCTGAGCCTGCCCAATGGAAGCCTTCTAATGAAATTCAAACCACTAGATGTCTTTCAGGTCTGCCAGTCTAAAATGTGTGCTGACTTGCCTGTTTTCTTCTTTGCATTGGTGATATGTTCTGAGGCAGAGCAAAAGCAGGCACCTTTCCAGTCCCACTGTGGCATGGGATATTATACCCATGAGAGTGACCGTTTGCTCTCCTGCTTGCTGTTGGGCTGCTGTGCTCTTACTTCATGATAAGGAAACATGGAGTAGACTTAAAAACTGGTACTTTATTGATCTGCTTGGTACCCATAACGGTGGGTTTCTGTCATACCTTTTCCCTTGCTGCTGCACTAACATTAACAAGAGCATTGGCAATGAGGTGGGTTTAGATGTTGCAGGGTAAGTTTTGGAGGCTGCCTGCATCTGTTTGGAGTTACATTATTAGCTGTACTGCTTTGACAGATGATGTCGACAGGGATTTTAGACTGGCTACAGTACTACAGATGAAAACCAGGTTGATTTGACATACTTCAGTGCTAACAGTAGTATCATGTAATGATGTCCTTGTTGCATGAAGATTTTTTTGAAGCTGCAGGGTAGTAAGAACCATGTGGTTCCTAGCAGTCATCTTCAAGATGTCACCGAGGGAAAATCACAGCAGCACTGGAGAAGGCACCTGTCCAGCTCTGCTCCCACATCACGTTTTATGAGGTACTTGACTAATGCACATGATTTGTGTAAGCTACCAAAAATGGCTAGTGCTCCTCTGTATGCAGTGCATTTTAATAGTTATGTTTATGTTCATTTTTATGCTTTGTTTTATAGTATTTCAATTTCCCTTTGTTGATCACAGCTTTGTTATCTCTGTGGTGACTTATTTCAATTGTTTTGCAGAAACTTCCTAGAGAACTTTGGTTTGCATCTCAGCTGCTTCATTGCAAGGCCAGCATTTCCCTCACAAATTTCTTTGTGTTTGAAGTCAGAAGGTGGTAGTTTCACAGTTTATGGAATTTTCCTTAAGAAATAGTTAAATATTTTAAAACACAACTTCAACAATTTTTATTCTGATTAATTATATATTCTGTTTTAATGACCAAGAAAATTCAGTAAGCAAGAAATGATGCATTTGTTACTTTCCAAGTGCTAGTTAGATGTACTTTTGCTTCTTAGATTTATGAGTACTTGTAGATTGCAGTTGTGCACTGCATGACATTTCCATTCAACTGTTCGTTGTCTACATTATAACTGGAATTGCAAAACTGTATCACAAAAATAGAGCGTCTAGGGAGGATTTGGGAGTTTTGGATTTACCACCTCATCCATGTATGACAAGTGTTTTTACACACAGGTTTGTGTGTAGAACTACTTGCTAAACCACCTACTTTAATGGTTTATGCATTACTTTATAAATTTATATATTGTTGTTAATTCCTTGGAACAACTTTGTAATTCAATGTAGAATCACAGAATCATAGAATGGTTAGTGTTGGAAAGGACCTTAAGATCATCCAGTTCCAACCCCCCTGCCATGGGCAGGGACACCTCACACTAAACCATATCACCCAAGGCCTCGTCCAGCCTGGTCTTGAACACTGCCAGGGATGGAGCATTCACAACTGCCCTGGGCAACCCATTCCAGTGCCTCACCACCCTAATGGACTAGTAGATAATAATAGAAAATCAGCGGGATGAAACTGACTATTCTTTTTTTTTTCTTCATTTAACACATGATAATAAAAATGTGAAAACCCTGGCATTTCTGGGGAAGAAAGCAAAACCGTGAGTATTTTGTTTATTAATTTACCATTCAGAACGGATTATTTTTAGAATTAAGGAGCTTAGAGACAATTTTACTACATTTCTGATTGATCAGATACTACCTCTACATTCTGTCTATTGAAAATACCTGTGATTCCAGCTGAAACAAGTACATATATTGTAGCTCTTGCCCCAGTTTTTACTAGGGGTGCATTTGACCCAGTGGGGATTGATTTCAACAAAAGGTGCAGAAACAACTTCTGCACATACATATTATATATATATATCTTATTATATATTTATATAGGAATATAAATATGTCTATTAAAGATCATGCATCCATATGATTGTGTGGATACCAAGGCACTGTTCTTGCTTTTAAACTGTTCCTGCTTTTGCCTCATATTAAATTAACTTTCTGTGGAAGTGAATTATTGGGATATTGTTACTTCAAAAATGTGTGCATTTTAGAGTATCACACAGGTTATAAAAGGAAATACATTTACAGAAAACAAACAAGGCAGCTTTGGGGGGCTATTAATGCAGAGTTCCTACTTTA